GACGGTATAACTGCGCACACGTTGTGCTGTTGCCGTAATCATGTCGACGGTATAACTGCGCACACGTTGTGCTGTTGCCGTAATCATGTCGACGGTATAACTGCGCACACGTTGTGCTGTTGCCGTAATCATGTCGACGGTATAACTGCGCACACGTTGTGCTGTTGCCGTAATCATGTCGACGGTATAACTGCGCACACGTTGTGCTGTTGCCGTAATCATGTCGACGGTATAACTGCGCAGCCGTTGTGCTGTTGCCGTAGTCATGTCGACGGTATAACTGCGCACCCGGTGTGCTGTTACCGTAGTCATGTCGACGGTATAACTGCGCACCCGGTGTGCTGTTACCATAATCATGCCGACAGTATAACTGCGCGCACGTTGTGCTGTTGCCGTAATCATGCCGACTTGTATGCCAGTATCGCACCGTCAATTACAGATCCCCAGTTCACGTGTTGGCAGTCCAGCGGACGCTGGCCAATTCAGCGAGAATTCCGTAGGAGTCGCATGCCAATGTTAGGAGGATATTGTACATGTGCCATGATAGAAGACAATATGCGAAAACTAGGATATATACAAAAATTAGGAATATAAGCATATAGGACAATATACATCAGTATCAGACAAGTACATGAATAAGAAAATATACGAGTGCGAGACAATAAACGAGAACCAGACAATATAGGAAAGAGGACCGAGCAATATACGAGAACTACACATGATTACGAGAATTACAAAATATACGAAACACATACAATTAGTCATTATACGGAATCAGACAGAGTACGAGTACAAAACAATGTACGAATAAATAGAAATCAGGCATGACGACTGTTCATACTGATTTTCTATTAGTAATGGTTTCCATTAGTAATTAGAATGGATTCCTATTCCACTAGAAAGCAAAAAGGTGCTTTTCTCTACACGGAAAAATTAATTGCTCTTATTATTTCTGATTGACCTGCACTGCTATTATTATCGTCACTGAAAGCTGTCAACACAAAATTATCTTTCTTGCTTGTTCACTATTGATTTTATTGAATCTAGGAAGTTGACTTGGAAGTTAAAGTTGTTTCCGGGAAGTTGACTCGGCGTTGCTCGGGAGGTTGTTTGTGACAGTATAGCAATTATAGTATATATATGTGACAGTATATATATATACTATATAGTATGTGACAGTATAGCAATCCCGTCAATTCAGTATAGCAGGTTGCCCTGGGCAGCATGTTAAAATGACGCGGCAAGCAAAGGTTTGCTTTGCGGTTTTTCTTTGGAAATGATGTACATTGTACCTAAAATAATTATTGCCGAAAATTGTATGCAATTCCGCTACCTAAAACTAAATTTTTATATCCGATTTGAGCGTATCACGATATAATAGATTTTCTGGATATATGAGTGAATATCTTGATAATTTATTACCAGCTTTCCATTTTATTTTTTTACTATTATATCTGTCAATGAGCCAGAAAATTTAGTAAAATTCATTTCAACTTTGAAATTTAATAGGTTAAATTCGAACCTCAATTGCAATTCAATAAAATAATAATTTCCACCCAACCGTAATAATGTCCAAACATATATATTTATAAATCGCAATTCAAAGCTCTGAACTACAGTATTAGAGATTCTCGCTTCCAAATCAATTTCTAAGGAAATCCAAACGTATCGGACCCTTTCCACATGATATTGCTGCATGCAAAGTGACACATTAATTTTCCATATTGTGCTGGCGGTCCAATAAATCCAATATGGAATTCAGACCTTGTGGTTGTGCTCGAAATTTCGCCCAGGAATAATTGCCATTTAACTAATTAATTTATTAACCAAGTATATAAATTTAGAACTGAAATGCAAAAGTTACTAATATCCGCCATATGGGGAACTCTAATTATGATGAATACATCTATCAGAGTCTTAATTAAATCCCCACCCTATTGTGTTCTGTTGCTACATGTGATTTAGAGACGTTTATTAATTGAATAACAAGTATTAAACGGGAACTTGGGGTAAAAAAACTAATTGTGGTAAAAAACTAATTTAGTTTTGGCTCAAACTTCCACTAAAGTTTGTAAAGAAGCTAGTACCTATATGTAAGCTTAATCTTGTAAATGTAAGATTCTTACATTTTAATTAATAATGAGATCTACTCTACATCCGACTTTGAGCCGACTAAAAAATATTATACAGAATGAAATTGCAAACTAATTGTACAAAACAAAAATAATCGTGGGAACAATCTATGTATTTCCGATTTTGAATAAAAATCGTATGAGCGTGTCGCAATCGGAATTCAGAAACATTTTTCAGATCTGTATACATGATAATCACCATATTTTATGAGATCCATTCACGAACCGATGTGGTTTTAATCAGTTTAGAAATTATGCATTAGAACACTTTTATTGCTACCATGCATTTGTCTCTAGGTTGCATAAATCGAATGTTTATTAAAAGGCATTGTTAATGTGACATGATTCGTTTGGTTAATATGGTACAAGATATTAATCTTGTAACCTGGTTAAAATATCGCAAATGGGAAATCTGTAACATATTAAATGAGTCAAACTTCTACCCTGATTTACCTTTAACGCCAAATTTTCTCTCTATACATCCCACTCAGCCTCCCGAGAAGAACCGAGTTAAACTTCTACTTGCAAATTAATCAAGTTATCAACACATACGACATCTATAGATAGTTGCATCCAGCAGAAGATGCGAGTTAAGTCATTCTACCGGGACAAAGCTGCCAACTTGGTCAAATTGGTCATTAATGAATATTCTGAATATTAGCGCAGGAACTTCCAGAATGCACGAAGTTCTGAATTGAAATTCCACCTTCAGTGGCAACTCGCACACCAAATACATCGTATTCATATCAATACGCAGACATGATATGAGGATATGTTTTTTTAAACATAGTTATCTTCTTTATTTCAATTGATATGGGTTCCAACGAGTGAAAAATTACTTCTGTATATTCAATCACTGTGAATAATTTTAGAGTATTTATCGACATTTATGAGTACACAACCTCATGTTTATTTTTAAAACAGACACAATATACAAGGTATGTGTTTCGCCGCAAGGCACAGAAATAATAGTGTACCAAATATTGAATTTCAAAATTCGAATTATTAAATTTAAGCAAAATTGAGCTGAAAAATTACAAATCACACACGTTTTGCATGAATTCATCTATTCATTAATCCAACAATTATACAGATATTCTTCGAGGAGCTCGAAAACTTTCCATCACATGCCGGAGTAACCGGCGTAAGCGATTCCTCTTACTTGAACTGCTTACTCTACGCCGGAGCCTTGAGTTGTTGTTTTGGGTTGTTTCCTCTACGCCGAAGCCTTGAGTTGTTGTTTTGGGTTGTTTCCTCTACGCCGAAGCCTTGAGTTGTTGTTTTGGGTTGTTTCCTCTACGCCGAAGAATAAATGATACTGAGGCTCCTATAGTAAATACATGAGCGAAATATCCTGAATCAAGTGACAAGAAGCGTTAGGGTTAACAAAATGTACAATTGAGCTCGTCCTATAATAATACTACGAAATAGTGTTATCACTATCGTTGGGATAATAATTCTACATATAAAGTTAACAGAAGGCTAACTATTACTCTTTATCAAAATTATTAGTATCATAAACAGGCTTGGTATTACTGTTCATCCATAGTACTGTTAAAAGACAATAATAGTTATAAATTTTTATATAATAACGTCTTTTTAAACTTTCATTTTAAAAATCTTGGCAAAATGCGAAATATTTCATTGCTGAATTTCGATAACATTCTATTGTTGTTTTAGAATACTAATTAACATTTTAACTGATCTATTACCTCTGGCAATTGAATTTACAGTTTCACGACAAAGTCGAAAAACTTGATAATTTGTTATATTATTTAAATAACTAATTATGTTTAGGATCCATCCATTCATGTATTCATATAGCGAATTTAATTCGAATTAATCAGATCATAATTTCGCAATAGCGGTTAGATTTCACTTGTTTGCCTGCGCACATGCTAAAATTTATCGTGAAATTAAAAGCAGCTTGAAATTTACAATTAATTCGGATTTTGATGCCCAAAATTAAAGTAATTTTTAGGACGGAAACCAGTTATGAGAGATAAAAGAAAAGCGCTGGTAAATCGGAAGATTTTTACAAATTTGATTGAACTGGAAGGTATATTTTTTTTCTTTTCTCCACATATATAACGCATAGAGAGTTTATATTAATGTATGTTTAGTTGAGATAAAATATGATAAAAATGGACGTTGAAAAGATCTTCAGATAGTTATGTTATAAGAGAATAATGTTGGCAGTGTTGAAAATTGTAGTTAGATGAATTTAAGCCGAGTTGTCTGATTTCAATGGTTCAATGAAAAATGTCTGCAAAAACTACGTAAAAATTATGTCGTAAAATGAAGCATTGTTTGCTGTTGGAATTCGTTTTCTGGGCACTATACGCGCCCATTAAAAAATCTTGAAATAATCTTACTTACCTGAATTTTTGAGAATTCAAATGGAAAATTCTGCAAATGGCTGTTGCATTGTTTTTTCTCTGAATTAAACCCCATGATAAGATTTTCGTATACATTATTTTATGTAGTTATAGAAACTTAGTCGATAAAAAAATAATGAATTATTTTTAAAAAAATTATTTGCTTTGTAAAATAATCAGAATATTAACGTCGAAAATTAATTTGAAATGGTAAATTCATGTAACAAAGTCAAATTAATATGAATTTTACATTCATTTCTTCAGTTCAGTAGGGCAACATGGGGCAGCGCGCCCCCACTTTTTTTAGACTAAATTTTTGATGAAGTTTTAATTGATACGAGGTGGGTCTTTGTTTTGTTTAAAGATACAATTAATGAGGAATGTATGATGTGAATTAGACGCCTATATGTTTATTCAGTTTTTAATGAAACACTATTTTGTAAAAAGTGTCAAAATGGGCCCATTGCCCCACCCCTGGGGCAATGGGCCCATGGGCTTGGGGCAATACAAAGATTTATCGACTAAACCTTTCTACAGGTGAGTGATGCGTACTAAAATACTGGATAGTTTACTGAACACTGGTGTTGTGGTACAAAGATTCATCGACTAAACCTTTCTACAGGTGAGTGATGCGTCCTGATATACTGGATAGTTTACTGAACTTATAAACCTTTCTACAGGTGATTGATGCTTACTGATATACTGGATAGTTTACTGAACTTATAAACCTTTCTACAGGTGAGTGATGCTTACTGATATACTGGATAGCTTACTGAACACTGGTGTTGTGGTACAAAGATTCGTCGACTAAACCTTTCTACAGGTGAGTGATGCGTCATGATATACTGGATAGTTTACTGAACTTATAAACCCTTCTACGGGTGGGTGATGCGTACTGATATACTGGATAGTTTGCTGAACTTATAAACTTTTCTACAGGTGAGTGATGCGTCCTGATATACTGGATAGTTTACTGAACTTGCCTTAACAAGCAGTTTGGTGCAGGTGCTGGATCTTTTATCAGCCCTTCATGGAGTGAGTCTTACAGTTTGTTACTCAAATAAAATTTCTACCAAGAGTTTATACTGGTAAGTGAAGTGGTACAAAGGCTTTTCTAATAAACACTTCTACAGGTGAGTGATGTTGTATATAGGGTTTCCATTCAACAGATCGATTCTCTAGTAAACATTTCTACATGTCAGTGTAGTAGTACAAAGGCTTTTCTAATAAACCCTTCTACATGTGAGTGAAGTGTAAAGAGTTCTATACTAAACGTTTCTACAAGTGAGTGATGTGGGACAGAGGTACACCACTAATCCCTTTTACGTTTGATTGCTGTGGTACAGAATGTGTTCTATCAAACTCGTCTAGGTGAGTGCAATGATAAATTTCCATATACGCTCACGCATAGACAAGCGCGCGGGCGTTTTGCATAGTGCAGCCTAAATCCATTATTGGATTGATTATTAAAAGATGAATTTTAGATAAAAGATATTTTGAAAGATATACTTTCTAGGCTTGGCTGTTCGAGAATTGATATCTCCCATAACAAGAAACTATTCGTCCGAAGTGGTACATGTTACTCAAGAAATACAGCCCATTTAGGATTCTATTATCTCTTAAATTATGACTATTCGATTTTAAATGTAACCCCAAATATAACCGCTTGAAATTTGTCATTACAAATTTGTAATTTATCAAATGGATTTATCTCATAATATGTTTTTTAATGATCGACATTATTGAATCAGTTATAATAAAAAAAAATAATTTCCGTGATTTCTCGTTCACTTCAGAACAATTTTTCAATCTTTTTGAGTCAGGCTTATCATATTTGTAACACTTACAATCATATTTGTAAAACGTTCAGTCATAACAGTAACAGTAACCGTGTAGGCCACAGCCATACCATAGTATTGAAGGTATCAATTTACTTTGTAAAGATCGAATGAAAGGGTAATTTTTTTTCGAATCGAAGTCGAGGCTCCCGAACACGCGTTTCTGGTGCCTTGGTCAAAAGTCTAATTCTGGCGTTCGTAATTGCTCAACGTTTTGCAATATTTGTCGTACGTGCTGTCAAAATAGTTCGATTTTGCAGCTGTGATTTTTTGTCAAGTTTGTGACTTGCCTTTCTCTAACGCTTGTTTCGAGTGAGGGAAAGCTCAGTTTCCAACCTGAAGAAACATTGAAAAACAATTGTTTTTTCGAACTTGCACCTAATGAATGAAAACCTAATGAATCACCGATAAACGGAAAGAGGAAATTTCCTCTTGTTCTAAAATTTTCTTCAGATTTTTTGTGTGATTTTGTAAATATTTTGCATCCGTTGAATAAGAGTTTTCATCTTACTGCATATTATGTTTTAAATACTGTGAGTATACAACAACTATACAAATATATATATATATATTTGTATAGTTGTATATATAAATTTATTTTAAATGGCAGGATTTACTTGTTTACACACGTGCGATCGATGACCAGAGAATTCGTTGATTTCTATTATCAGTGAATGAAACTTTTCTTCAGTTGAACGGTAGATCAAAAGGCAAGTTTCAGGAAGTAATTCTTATTTATTAACGACGTTTCGAATGCAACAAACATTCATTTTCAAGTTAAAGAAGCATTAAACATTGAAATTTTGGTGGAAATAAGTACATAATATAAGTAACTAGGATACAACAGTAAAATTTTGGACCAAAAATGATCATTTTTGGTCCAAAATTTTACTGTTGTATCCTAGTTACTTATATTATGTACTTATTTCCACCAAAATTTCAATGTTTAATGCTTCTTTAACTTGAAAATGAATGTTTGTTGCATTCGAAACGTCGTTAATAAATAAGAATTACTTCCTGAAACTTGCCTTTTGATCTACCGTTCAACTGAAGAAAAGTTCCATTCACTGATAATAGAAATCAACGAATTCTCTTGTATATATAACTATACAAATATCAGTGAAACAATAATTCTCTCGATACTTGCCTTATTCACTGCTTAGTGCTATTAACGTCGTGGAATAAAGCTGCCATAAAGCGAAACTTTTTCATATTCTTGCACGTGTTGCATAACTGTTATTTTTGATCATAATTCTTATCGAAAGTCGGTATAAAAATTTCCCATTTTAAGAATTTTCTTTCAATCATTGATTGAAAGTGGTGGATAATCTGTTCAGGTTTCGAATACTGTGTTTCATAAGTCTTCTAATATTTTCTACTTATTTTATATGGTAGCCTATGATTTTTTCCTGATATTTCGCCTTGAAGAGGTTGCAATTCACAGCCTCTTGTGGCAGTGCGACAAATTCTCATCGCTAATTCAGCTTCCTCTGAAGTTCCGTGCAGGGCTCTTGACTAGTTAGAAAGAACGTGGGTGCTCGTTAAAGCTCTAATCAGTTAAGTGGCCACGAAGAGTTGCATTGCTAAGTTCTAATGTAGAATTTCCTCTCGCACGGATATTGTTAGACATATATATTGGTATATTTATTAATCATTCTATAAGCGAACAACACTCAACGAGTGAACATCGAAAATAGGCCACTGAAATACGTCACTTCTGCCACAATTTATTTGAAAATAACATATCTGCTACTAACATGAACCACTAACGTATACATACATACCTACATTAACTACTAACATTAACACAAAATTGCAGTCGCTAATGTAAATTGTAATGTGAATTATGTTTCTGTAAGATGCGACGCATTAATTGAAGGTAGATTCTTCGCAATAATAGATCCGCGAGAATTGTTTTTTAACTTAATAGTTTGGTTCATCATTAAATAGATGTAGCTCATCATTCGACCGATTAAGAAAAGCTGTTGGTCACATTATAATGACTGTGTTTGATGAAATTATGGCTTTAATTGTGCTTTGAGAATGGAATGATGTCCTGTTAATATTAGCACAGAATTCAATGAGAACAATAATACTTTCAATATATCTGAGTTTTTAAACGAAAAAAAATGTATACAGTATATCTCTTGCACATTTTTTTAAAATTTTTTTTAATTCTTTAGGTGGCGATTAGCTGTGAACTACCAGAGTGAAATTCATATATTTTATCCTGAGTTTAGTGATTGAATTAGATAGTAATGATTTAGATTATGATTTGCATGGCAACTATTGAATCAAGTTACAGCGATTATGCGTCTGGGACTGATAATTATTCTCAAGTCATTTAATTATGTAAAGGTTAATTTCCGACCAATACAGTTTCATAGCGTTTAGTTTCATTTTGCATTCCTGAAGCTGATCGAAAAATTTCTTAGAAAACTACTTTGGGATTTAAAACTACTTTGTTTTTCTCCGAGCTCCTGAAATGAACACAATGTAAACAATGTATGTGTTGATACTACCTCTCGGTTGCACTTTGTGTCCGCGCTTCATCGGGCAGCGTTCTCTGTTTTGGGCAAGAAGAACATCGAAACTATCGAAACATCGCAAGTTTTTAGGCACGAGCATTCAGTATTTTTTGGGGCACGCCGTGAACTCTGCGACGAAGTGACCCTCATTTTAGGCTGGAAGCGACGCTGATCCAAAACAGAAGGCCAACATTGACATCAGCGATCGTTTTTTAGGACGCATTACCACCGTTGAGCTTAAAGAAACAACCTTCTTGGTGGCCGGTTTATCTCTTTTATCGGAGCGTAAAGGCATCGTCTGCCTCACCGAACTGATCTTGCGGCACTTAGGTCTATTTGTGGTCCAAACTCGCCGTGTTGGACCATTGATCTAGAGCTGCTTCTTGCTGTTCTGGACTTTTCCCCTCATGCTTGTTTTCTTTTTTGAAGCTCGTTATACCTTGAGGAGTGCAGTCAAACTATGAAGCGTTTTTGTGTATTACACAGTAAGAAGTACAGTCAAACTAAATAGCGTTTTTACGTGTTACACGGTAAGCCTAAGTTCTGAAACGTGTTACACACTGAGAAGTGCAGACAAACTATAAAGCGAGCTTCCGAATAACTAGTGAAGCTACCATGCAGGAAGGTAATTAAAATCAATATCTGTCACCATCATCATTGGATTTTTCCACCGATCGCGTAATGTACCACATCCACGCCTTTTTGATTTCTCAAAATAATATTAACTTTTTTAAAATAGTTCTGTGTGCCCTCAAAGCCTTACTGCAGGAGTTGTATTGGAATTCATATTGTGTTATATTCCGTATCTATCATTACTTAAATAGTTGTAATTGAAATTTCAATCGTTTCATCATCAGAGAAAATAAAAAGCCGGGACCTGAACTTCTTCTTCCTACTTCTCGAAATATAGAAAATTTATGAAAAAAAAAAAAGAAATTTAAAAAATTTATGTCTGTGAAAACTTTTCCTTTCATTGGAGCGCTACACACTCGCTTCAGGGAATTCATGTGTATTCCGTGATATTAGATTCATGGAACGATGAATTGAAATAATTAAAATTCTCCCTCGTAAGCTAGGAATGAATTTAATTGTCCCTTGCATCTTCTGATTAACTTGTGGTGTAGCAGAAAACCTTATAAGAAAAATATAGATCTAGAAATCTTAAAGTCAT